AAGACACAACTATTTGGACAAAATCTTAGAGAAAGATTGGTACAGATAAATAAATAATAATAAATAAATAAAATCATATAGAATCCAGAAAAATTATACAAAAAGTTATTAGAAAATAAAGTGCGTTATCAAAATTAATTTTAAGATCAAGGGATTTGAAACTGAGATGTTTGGATTTATTTATTTTTTTTGATTTTCTATTCTTAAAAAAAATTATATTACCCACGTCATAATAAATTTAATTCTACTTTATACTTTATTTTCCAACTTTTTATCATCCCAAACATTTCCATGTAACTTTAGACAGAGATAACAGATATTTAAATAAGCAATGATGCATTCAAATATGGGGTACCTAATTTTACTTTGTTCTAGATAGCCAATCATGAGGATGTATTCAACTTTGATTAATTTTGTTCTATAGTCAATATGATACAAAAGGGTTATTCTCAAGTCAAGCCTCCACTTTTATTGGGATGAGGATGAGAAGAAATAGAAACACAGTAGTAAGTCTTGGAATTCACAATTATTGTTCACATTTGTACCCAAAATTTGAATGTATGTGAAATTTATGTATAAAATGAATTTAAATTATATATTAATATTTTTAAGTAATTTTTTAAATAAAATTTCTGAATTTATAACATTATGATTAGACAGATAAAGTTTTGATAAAGAAATGACCCCCTATTGCCACACAAAAGTTGTCCAGATGCAAGGGTTCTGAGTCCTGCTAATCATGATTGAATTTGATTACTACACTGTTTTTAAAAATTTGTCTGCATTGTTGTCATCTCATGCACTTCTTCTATTCCAGATTCAAAATCATCAATAATTAAAAGCATATTCTAGCAAAAAAGCATGAGCATACATGTATTACATGAACAATTGACATGTAAACAGTGATGCAATTTTGAGAGATCTTCCACGCAACAATGAGACAGTGTTTGGTGCAATTATAGAGATTGTTTAATTTTTTTTTTTTTTTGGTTTAAATTTTTGTGTCAAAATGTTTGGTGTGATTTTTATTTATAACTTATGAAAAATAATTTAAATAAATTTTAAAAAATTAATTGTCTAAAAACTTAGAAGATGTGCTTTTAACTTTAATTTTTTTAACTTGACGAAAACTCCACCAAATAGGCTAAGCAATGCTAGAAATTTAGAAATTTCCAGTACCTCTGTTCTTCTTTTTTCTTTTTTCTTTTTTTTTTTTGGGGGAGGCATAATTCCTTTTGAATCACCCTCAAATTTCCACATAAATTATTTCATCTTCTTTCAATGAAGATTAATACTGTAATACCCCTGTTTTGTAGTATGTTAATTGGTCCTTAATACGAGTATGATGATGTGTTTAATATAATTTTATGTGCCATTTTGTGAATATATGTGATTTCGAAGTTCTATCTGTTCACCGTAGGGATATCTGTTTGAATAATCTGCTTTGGAAATTAAATTGGAGGCCTTATCGGCCACAAAACCCGAAATCGATTACGCCATTGTGATTGGCATAATTTTTAGAGCCTACGGTGGAATTTAATTGAAAATTTATTCAAGTCAGATTAAATTGATTTAATTAATGGTTTAGTGCCCAATTATTTGATATTTATATTTTTGGCTAGTAGGACTTATTTTAAATGGGCATTCTACACTCAATTCCCTTTTTATATCCATTTGGGTAAGAGAGGGGAGGGTCGGCTATAGAAGGAAAAAGGGGAGAGTTGTACAATTTTGATTCAAGACTTGAATCTCTTGAAGATCTAGCTCTAGATTTGGCTAGAACTTGAGTGTTGAAGCTCTTAGGTAAGTGAATTCATGGACTCTTGTTTGTAATTTGTAAGTTCAAAGTTGAAAAATGTTAAAGAACATGAAATTGGGTTGGTTTTGTTGAATTAAGGCTTGACATATGCATGCATGTAAGAAATTGTGTTAAAATAGCATATATAAGCTTGAAATACATGATTCAAGTAGAGTTTTGGTTGAAAGTCATGTTTTGATCACCATTTGTGTTGTCTAAGTTGAGAATGTGGCTAATTCATCACATGCATGTACAATTTATGAAGATATGAGCTTGAATGTATGAATTTGTTATGTTAGAATGAGTTTGATGGGAGATTGGGGAATGCATGTGAATTAATTGTGAATTGAGCTCCATTGGGTTGAGATTTGGGGTTTACATCATATTAGTATACTTATATTTGAGAATTGAGCCATAACATGCATGTTTTGTTGGTTGAAAATAGAATTGGAGCTCAAGAACTCAATCTGGAAAACCCAGATTTTTTATGTCCGCTCGAGCGGGTTAAGTACCGCTCGAGCGGGAAAATCGTGCTCCCAGCACTTTTTGCAGACATGGTTCCCGCTCGAGCGGGGAGCTATGTAGACAGGCCATCCGCTCGAGCGGCAGAGTTAACGCCCGAGCGTGATTTTGATGTAACCAATATTTTTGCAAGCCTTAAGTGTCCGTTCGAGCGGGGAAGTCCGCACTCGAGCGGGGACCTTATTTTCTGAAATTCTAAAATTGCATTCTGTGTTCTATTTTCCGTTCTCTTTCACTTGTAAGCACTCTTAGGCATACATTAAGCATTGTGAATGAGTTAACGAGATAAGAATAAAGCCTAAAGAGGAATATGTGAATTAAAGAACGGATTGAACTGTTAGTGACTCTTTTGTGTTCGTGAAATGTGTAGGGTCAAGCTCCAGGGCAAATCCACAAGCCGATCACTGTGAGTAATATCGATATTTGAAAGCTTAGCAATGTCCAACTGTTTATTCCCTTATAAGCTTTATGAGTTACTGATTGGGATTGTGGACAAAAGTCTGACATAAACGAATGAATGGACCGAAGGTCGTTTCGATATGAACAAATGGACCTAAGGTCGTTTTGATAGAAATAAATGGACCTAAGGTCGTTCTGACATAAATGAGTGGGCCGAAGGCCGTTTTGACACGAATGTATGGGCCGAAGTCCGTTTTGATGTAAACGAATGGACCGAAGGCCGTTTTGACGTAAACAAATAGACCGAAGGTCGTTTTGACAGAAATGAATGAACCGAAGGTCGTTTTGATAGAAATGAGTGGACCGAAGGTCGTTTGGACATGTATGAATGGACCTAAGGTCGTTTTGACATAAATGAGTGGGCCGAAGGCCGTTTTGACGTAAACGAATGGACCGAAGGTCATTTTGACAGAAATGAATGGACCGAAGGTCGTTTGGACATGTATGAATGGACCTAAGGTCGTTTTGACATGAATAAGTGGGTCGAAGGCCGTTTTGGCATGAACGGAAATCTGAATGGGCCAAAGGCCAGAATGTTTGGAACTACAGTCACTTGATTTGAATTTCGTATAGTTATATATCTGTTAAATAGAAATATGAATTGGGCCCAAGGCCGTTTGGAACATGTTGTTCTACATTGTTATGTAACTTCTGTATTTGATTTGATATTATTCACTGGGCTTTCACTCACGCTCATTTATGTGTTTGTAGGTGAGCTAAGAGAAGTCCTGACCCAGCCTCAGTGAAGTATGTATGGAACAACTAAGGTTTTGAGAGAGTCAGCCCTTGTGTCTCACGCACGAGACCCGTCTTCGCCCTTTTGTTATGTATTTACATTTTGTTAGGTTGGCAAAGTTTTGAATGCGTCTGTATATAGTTTTCATGGGTTGACTTAGTTTGGATGATCCTGTCTGAATAGAATCTTATGTCATTACACTTTCTGTTGTGAGTTATTAATATATGTACATATGGAATGTTATGGTGTGCATATAAGCACGGCTCTATGGACAAAGCTTTAAATTTGCTTCTGTTTGGCCCCTTTTACTCTGATGAGTCTTCTCTTATCTGGTTTGAGGCCGTAGGTAATCTCGTGATTACTGGTTGGTTATGGCCTTAACCCATAGGGGCGGGTTCGGGTCGTGACAAATGTGACAATTTAAAAATAAAAATTTCCATTAAAAGTTAAATTAGGATTTAGTTTTTGTTTTAGTTCTTTTAATTAGTAATATAGTTCTTTTACTTATACGGACAGAACAAAGCACAATTTTCTTACACGGGTGTGAGACACATAAAAAAGTAAAATATATCTCATGTGAGAGGGTTGTGTCCAAATTTTTGTATGGTAGGATTTATGTTTGATATATTGATCATAGGCAATTGGTGAGCATTAATTTGGACACCTAGACAACTTATTTGACTATTATTGAGCATGAGTTCGTTGTATGCACACTTGGGACCATGGTTGATAATAATGGGAGGAATCTACTTCAAGAAATCCAACCATCATGAATCTTGCGTGAATACTTGCAACTTACTCGTATTGTGCACCATCATGCATTTTTTTTTTAATTTTTTTTTTGGGTTGTAACACTCATAATTTTTTTCTTTTTAATTGTTAGCATTTGGGAGGAGTTGAAACTCAAACCCATACACCTTACAAGAAAATCTTGCCCTCCCATTTCATTCCTAATGTTGTGTTTAGTTGGGAGATTTAAGGAGAGATTTTGAAAGGAAAATAGAAAATATAAGTGAAATGTGAATATAATATATCTATATTTCACCTAGTTTTTGTTAAGAGTTTATTTTAATTATTGTTATTTCTTTGAATAAGTCTATGTTGTCCTGTTCTTCTGGGAGTCAGTTGTAGTGTCCTAAGTTTTAGGAGTATTCTATTATCTTGAAAGTCTGTTAGTTATGGATCAAGATTAGTTCCATATTATCTGTTAAGTTTGTTTTGTATATTCTATTTAAAGTTGCTTTCAGTCAATGAATAAATTGAGAAGTTCAGCAACATTCTTCTTTTGATTACATTCTGTTTTTCTCACATTTGGTATCAAAGCTACCAAGAAATTCTTCTTAAAAGCAACAGCCTTCTTACTATCAGTAGCAATCATTCATGGCTAACAAGGTCGTCGATAACTATGTCCAGCCAGCTATTCCTCGCTTTGATGGTCACTATGATCACTGGAGCATGTTGATGGAGAATTTTCTACGATCCAAAGAATATTGAACTCTCGTGGCAACCGGCTTTATGGAACCGGAAACTGGAGCAGTTTTGTCAGAAGCACAGCAGAAGAGACTCGATAAACAAAGGCTGAAGGATCTCAAGGTGAAAAATTACTTATTTCAGGCAATTGATCGTACAATTCTAAAGACCATTCTCCGGAAAGAAACTTTGAAGCAGATATGGGACTCAATGAAGAAGAAATATCAAGGCACATCGAAGGTCAAGCGCTCCCAACTCCAAGCACTTCGTCGAGAATTCGAGACCTTACAAATGAAATCTGGTGAGAGTGTTTCAGATTATTTTTCAAGGACAATGGCGATTGCAAATAAGATGCGGATCCATGGTGACCAAATACAAGATGTTATCATCGTGGAAAAGATTCTTCGCTCTATGACTACGAAATTTGATTATATAGTCTGTTCAATTGAGGAGTCCAAGGACATTGATGAACTATCGGTTAATGAGTTGCAGAGTTCGTTGTAGGTCCATGAGCAAAAACTTAACCGTAGTACCACACAGGAGCAAGCCTTGAAGGTCTCAACCAATGGTGAATCTTCAGCAGTAAGAGGATCCGATCGAGGTAGAGGACGAGGCCGCGGTCGAGGCAGGGGAAGAGAAAGTCGTGATGGCAGACCCATAAATAACAAAGAGGACAACCACACTTCGTATTCAAGAAGCAGAGGTAGGGAGCATTACAACCAGCAGTTAACTAATCATGAAGCAAAATGGGACAAATCAAATATTGAGTGCTACCACTGCCACAGGTATGGACATTATAAGTCTAAATGTCGTACTAATTTACACAAAGAAAAAGGGGAAAAGTCCAATTTTGTAGAGAGAGAAGAAGAAGCCACTCTTCTAATGGTGTGTCATACCATGGAAGGGAATCAGCAGAATTTATGGTATCTAGACACAGGTTGCAGTAATCATATGTGTGGAAGTAAGTCAATTTTTACAAACTTGGATGAATCTTTTCGAACCTCTGTAAAGTTTGGTGACAATTCTATAATTTCGGTAATGGGAAAAGGTGATATTCACATTCAAACTAGAGATAATTCTACTCATATTATTTCTAGTGTTTTTTATGTACCAGAATTGAGAAGATGGGGTCTGTTTAATTAATTCTACTCAAGAGAAGGGTTACACAGTCACAATCAAAGATGGTGTCTGTTTAATTAATGATCCCAAAAGATGTGTAATTGCCCATGTCAAGATGACTGCAAATCGAATGTTTCCATTATATATCAAGTATGATACTCAGTCCTGTTTCTCTGCCAATGTGAAAGACTCAACATGGCTATGGCATCTTCGCTATGGTTATCTGAATTTTAATGGGTTAAAGACCCTATATGAGAAAGAGATGGTAACAGGCCTTCCAAAAATTGATCCTCCTAAGCAAATCTATGAAAAGTGTGTTGTTGGTAAGCAGCATCGTGATCACTTTCCAAAATGGAATGCATGGAGAGCTACAAAAACGCTGGAGCTTGTCCATTTTGATATTTGCGGGCCCATAAATCCGACATCCAATGGTAATAAGAGGTATTTTATTACATTCATTGACAATTATAGTCAGAAAACATGGGTATATTTTTTGCAGCAAAAATCTGAAACTTTCTCAGCATTTAAAAGTTATAAGGCCCTGGTTGAGAAAGAAGTTGAGAGAGCTATTCAAATTCTTCGAACCGATCGTGGTGGAGAATACAATTCACGAGAATTTGTAAATTTTTGTGAGGAACATGGAATCAAAAGGCAACTTACAGCAGCCTATACACCACAGCAAAATGGTGTGTCCGAGAGGAAAAATCATACAATCTTAAACATGGTGCGAAGTATGTTGGCAAGGAGAAGCGTTCAAAAGAGTTTTTGGCCTGAAGCAGTCAATTGGGGAGTTCACATATTGAATAAAAGTCCCACACTAGCTGTCCAAAACATGACACCCAAAGAAGCATGGCTGGGCGCAGACCATTCGTTGATCATTTTAGAATTTTCAAATGTATAGCATATGCTCACATTCCTGATGAAAAGAGGAAGAAGCTTGATGACAAAGCAGAAAAATGTATTTTTCTTGGTGTTAGTGAACATTCAAAGGCCTATAAGTTGTATAATTCCATCACCAAGAAGATTATTGTTAGCCGAGATGTAGTGTTTGACGAAAAAAGGTCATGGACGTGGGTTGTTGATGACTCAGAGGGGCAGCAGATTCCAACAAATTTTGATAGAAATAATGAAGAAAGTAATCAGCCTTCAGATGGTCATAGGCAGCAGCAATCAGACTCTATCCCCACCAATCCACAAAGTCCAAAAACAGCAATATCTGGTGATATGCTCCCATTAAATTTAGCAGGAGAACATCCTGATGCTTCAACCGGATCGCGATCTCAACGCACTAAAAGGAGGCCAGCATAGATGCAAGATTATGAGGTAAGTGGATTTGATCAAACAATTGATCCACTCACGCACTTTGCTCTATTTACAGATTATGATCCTATAATATTTCAAGATGCTGTCAAAGAAACAAAGTGGCAGAAAGCCATGGATGTGGAAATCAATGCCATAGAGAAGAATGACACATGAGAGTTGATAGATCTTCCAAAAGGGAAGAAGACAATAGATGTCAAGTGGGTCTTCAAAACTAAGTTAAATGAGAAGGGAGAAGTGGACAAGCACAAAGCATGTTTAGTGGCAAAAGGGTATAAGTAAGAGTTTGGGGTAGATTACAAAGAGGTGTTTGCTCCAGTTGCAAGATTAGATACTATCAGGTTGGTGCTTTCCATTGCTGCACAAAATTCATGGCCTATCTTGCAGTTAGACGTGAAGTCGGCTTTTCTACATGGCGAATTACAAGAAGAAGTGTACGTGAATCAACCTCTCGGGTATGTGAAGCAAGGAAATGAGCAAAAAGTTTACAAGCTAAATAAGGCATTATATGGACTGAAACAAGCACCCAGAGCTTGGTACAATCATATAGATCTTATTTTGCTAGAGAAGGCTTTCATAAATGTCCATATGAGCATACACTTTTTACAAAGCTTGGAGAAGGTGGAAAAATTCTTATTGTATGCTTATATATGGATGACCTGATTTACACAAGTAATGATAATTCCATGTTTGATAGTTTTAAACAATCTATGATGACTGAGTTTGATATGACAGATTTGGGGTTGATGCACTACTTTCTCGGCATCGAAGTAGTACAGTCATTAGTTTTGATTTTTGTTTCTCAGAAGAAATATGTCCAAAAAGTCTTGAATAGGTTTCATATGAAGGATTGCAATTCAGTTGGAACCCCAATAGCACCTGATTTGAAGCTCGAAAAGAAGTCAGATGTAAATAAGGTAAATGCCACTCTTTATAAGCAAATTGTGGGAAGTCTAATGTATTTGACTTCAACCGGGCCTGATATAATGCATGCTGTCAGCCTAATTAGTCGCTATGTGGAGAATCCAACAGAGCTTCATCTCTTAGCAACAAAAAGAATATTTTGTTACTTGCAAGGTACAAAGGATTTTGGTATTTTCTATAAAAGGGGAGCACAATCCGGTCTATTTGGTTACACTGATAGTGATTATGCGGGGGATCCTGATGATAGAAAAAGCACTTCAGGCCACGTATTTATGATGGGGACAGGGGCTGTTTCGTGGTCATCCAAAAAATAGCAAATTGTGACTCTATCAACAACTGAAGCTGAATTTGTTGCAGCAGCGTCATGTTCATGTCAAGCTATTTGGCTAAGAAGGTTAATTGAAGCACTCCACTACCAGCAGCAAGGTCCAACATTGATTTATTGTGATAATGTTTCTGCAATCAAGCTTTCACCGAGAATCAAGGTACATTGCATCACTTGGAGTATGAATGTCCCTTGACCCTCATATTTGGCTTGACACCCCAAGCCAAATGATGCAATGCATGTTATGCTCGCAAGACTCAAAATACAACATGATGCTAATTATGCAAGATATGCCAAATATCATGCAACGAAACATGACAAATATGTAATGTTAACATGCAAGATGTAATTGAGATACAAACATGAACCAATTTGCCAAAAAGTTAGCATGGAATAGCACATTAATGGGACAATCATGCAATCAACATGAGATAAGCATGCAAAGGGGCCTCAAAGTGATAAAGGTGTGGACCCTTATTCGCCTCAAAACAGCACCAAGAGTGCTCAAAATGATGGACAACAACTCATGTTAACAAGCAAACTTATGATCCCAAGGTTTAGGCACAAAAAAAGGAGACAACTTACTCCCACCAACATGACCTCTCATGGCATGATTAAAACAAGTAAAAACAGAATTTTTGCATGCAAAATGGGACTCCAAAAACTCCTAAAATGGCAGCCAAGATGACTCCTACGAGGCATATGCACTAAGGCTCATTCCTAGGCACAAGTGGGTACACCCTTAAGGCATAAAAGAGGCCATGCATGCACACATACAAACATGATTCTTGGGCTAAAATGTGATCCTAGATGATGTCAAATCATGAGGATGATCACAACCATGCATGCTAGAGGTCACATGCTTAAAGCTTTCAAGCCAAAATACAAAGCAAACCTAACAAACATGTCAAGCATGGACAAATGGATAACCAACAGATTTTTAGCATGGAAAAACAACATTAAAAAAAACTTCATGGAACTAAGCCAACACACACAAGAATCATGGCCTAATCATGAGATGCACTTCTAAGCAAAATGGAGCAATACAAAGCAAGTACTACAAGCATACAAGGAGGTACAAATCCAGCCAAAAATAGAGATCCCACATGACCTAAAAACACCCAAAAAGTTCTGAAATGAAGCAAAAAAAACAAGCAAGCATGCATGTCACCCTTTTGGGCCACAACTCAAGGAAACAAAACCATAAAGGGAGAGGGGTGTCCCTCCCCTATGCAAGACTTCAAACCAACTTTTTTGATACTAAAAATACATTGATTTTCAATGGTCAACAGACCAAAACACTGAAGTGAACAAAACCTTATGAAAGAGGCACCAAAATGGACCAAATAAGGCCTAGAAGGGTGAGTTTACACTCAAACCACAAAATGACCTTAATGAAAGTGCTAGAGCAGGAAAATACAAGCCCTTTTTATGTTATACACAAGAGCTAAAACAGCAAGCAAGATAGGTAAAAAACTATTGCAAGTTTGGGGAATATAAATCAAGATGCTCACCCTTGAAGAACCTTTGAAGAACAAATGGTCTAGCCTCCTTCTTTTGATCAAAACCAGCCCAAAAACTCAAGAAATAACCCCCCAAGTCCCTCAATCTCGGAATAAGGTGTAATAGTGTGTGTAATGGTGCAAAAGTAAGGTAAAAACCACCTTTTGAGCTAAGAAACACACACAAAGGAGGAGAGAGAGGGAGGTATAGAGATAATATGTATCTATATCTCAAAGGTCTGGTTTTTGGTTGCAAGAAGCTAACCTAGATCAAAGAGGAAGACCCTCCTCTTATAAGACTCCCTCTTGCAAAGCTTATTCAACAA